AATGAACTGAAAGCAGACCTTTTTAAAGGTTATTTTCGATTCCCAAACCGATATTAAATATATCTACAATCATTAATATTGCTATACATCGACACTACATGAAGTAGCTGACACAATACTAATTAACACACGTTAAAGCGACTTTTAAATTATACTTTACATTTAATAAACAAGAATAATTTAATAGCAATAAAAACAAATAACAAATAAATCGCTACTCGATTTTGTATTATTATTTTTCAATAAAAATAATAAATATACATTTTTATTTTCTCAATAAAATAATGAAAAAAATCCAACTCATTTTTTATTCGTGATATTTTATTTTAAGTTTGTTAAAATTATGAAATTTTAATACAGTATGGGTGCAGATAGTAAACAATTTTTTGTTTTATAAATGATATACTTTCCAGTGTAGATAATAATAGTTTTTTTATTCTCTATATACTCTTATTTAGGTACATGGAAGGCATGAGGCGTGCACTAACAATATTTGTCCGAAATACAGGACGTATCAATAAAAACACAGTATTCTATTCTAACCAATAAACTATTAACATCTTCATACTTTACATATAAAATGAAAGTCAAGTACTTATATGTAATAATTAAATAAACCAACATTTTTAATTTAATATTATCATTAAATACGACATCTCGATTCTACAACAGAAGTCAACATTTAATTTTAAGAAATATTTTTCTAATTTCTCTTGTATATTTATTTTATATTATAACTACATCTTTTTTCTCTAATTTCTAAGCTACATAAAGATGTACGCCATTCTGCTTTGCAACATCTAATGCTAGGAATACAATAAGTATAAAATTGAGCTTTGTTGATATGTATCGTTACATTTAATCTCAAAGTTTTCATTTTGATATGTATGTGTTACCTTGGATCATCAATCACTACATTAAATGAAAAGAAATAAAGAATACTAACATTTAATTTCAACATCAATAAATAGAATATTTTTTTTATTATAAATGAATAATCATTTTAATAAATGACATTATTAAAATGTGATCCAATAAAAGCGTAATTTTTACAATACCTTTTATTTTTACGATTTGTTTTTTTTTAAGTGAAAATGTATATTTCATTTTAATATTCAATTTAAATGTCGACAACAACATTATTTCATTTTAAATGAAATATTATTTGAACAAAATATGAAGCGTGTTTGTGCATTATTTTCCTAAGCAATCGGACCATTGTTTAAGTTAAGTATTTTTAAATTAAAAAGCTGTGGACCGATGTAATAATATTGCTTTTCTCGTGAAATAAGGCTATTTGGAAGAATATACACAAATACCTTTATTACGTACTCTTGTTTTATAAATAACTTGTTAAAGTTAGATATTGTGTGTCATTTGTGAAGGTTATATCTGTTTTTATAATTTTGTATTATCTCATATATTTTGTAACTTATAATTTGTGTAACCGAAACCTTTAAATTTCTTTATCAATTCGTTTTCGAGTTACCTATACACATGTATAGGACTATCTACATCGAATATTTCTGATATAATATATTATTTTTAAAGGCTTAAGTTACACATTTTGTTGTTAATTTCATTAAACAGTAGGTACTTATAAACTAAATGAATTCGCTTCAACATTGGATATTGTTGATATCGAAACTCATATATTTATACCTATTTTATTTTATTAAAAAAAAAGAAAAACGATACAGTTGGAAGATACTTAGATACAATAATATAATATATTAAAAAACTTATTTTTTCACAATTCAAATACAAATAAAAACACATTAATTCACTACAAAAAATATACCTACAGTATTCATTCTCTCATTACAATATTTTTTTTAAATAAACTATTTCATTTAATGTACACTTTATTTCATGTTCATTTAAAAACAGTTTTTTTTTTTAATAAAAATGAAACAGTTTATTAAGTGAATTAATGTGAAATTTGCATTTAATTTTTAAATCCAACTTTGAAATATATTATGCTGGATTTATGGACCATGGCTAGGTACATTTTATAGTTCGTGAGTACCTTTAGAAAAGTGTACCCTTACGCCAAACATGCAAATGTCGTGAGTTTAATTCATTTAATGTGATTTTTTGTGTAATAATGATAACATATTAGATGAAATAGCATTAAAGGGTTTCAACGTAATATTAAATAATAAGGTTTAATATTCATTATTAGATATATCTTGAAATATTAGTTCCTAAACAGATATGTCACCAGTGCCTTCGAATTTTGTTATAAAATTTACGTAGCATGAGAAAAGCATAATTGATATTAATACGTTTTTGATGAATTGACATTAATAAAAATATGTAGATTTTTAATGCAATGCAAAATGATTTTTTTCGTAAAAATATTATTGAAATAATAAAATATATCACTCAAAATAATATTTCTGACTATCTTTAGAGAATATTTCTGAAAATATAAGATTTTATTAAACCTCTTTGTTAATAGGTAAGTACGACGAAACAATAATTTCTTTTGGTGGTAAGAGGCAATCGAGCTTATGGAGATGATGGTAAGCAAGCGCCTCCTACTGCCTATGGACGTCTTTAATACCAGAATTTTAAGAAAGAGTAAAATTATCCAACCTTCTTCAGATTAAAACAAAAATTACCTACTAGAAAAAGCTTAAATTCCAAGGAACTGGCAACAGTTAGACAGTCAGAGAGGCATGATAAGTACATTCTAAACGTTTCTATACTTTAAGATTCTTTGAGAACACAAGAGATCTATGTCTACCTCAAATTAAAGCTTCATTCTTTACCAATTTACATTACATATACTATGTCGTGTAATGTACAGAGAATACATCTATCTAAGTGTATTTTCCTAATTATATAGACTCGAGTTCGAACAAAACTCTGCGATACGCCGTGAGTTCAGATGTATATAACTTAAAGACACGTTTTTACAAAGAATTGGTCAACGAGACAGAAAGAATAGTCATTTTGAGATTTTAAGTTATGCATAATAAGATAAAAGAGGTAGAAGCGAAAGCTTTGGTATTTTAAAATGAATTCTCAAACAACGATGAAAAGGTTGACATTGCTTAGAAAATCCAGACTAGAATTAACAATAGTTTTAGAAACATATATAACAGAGAACTATAAGACTTGAAAGAACAATAGAAACCCAAACGTCAATTTACAAGAAACAACAATTACTATTGTTGATCTAAATAAAGTTGCAAAACTTTCAATCAATATATCTTCTAATAACAAAGTTGATCATTTGCAAAGTTTTGTTCGAAACCTCGAATTCTCTAAAAGTGCATTCACATTGATGGATTACAATATATCTAAATAACAGTCGACTAACAGAAGGGCGATCACTACACCAGACACTAGTCTAAGTTAGGAGAAACCAAGAACAACAAGGGTCTCAATATTGCAGACATTTTTCTGAATCATGATGAAGACAAAAAGTCTTTTATTGATGTTAGTGTGGAAGAGGAAGATAATGAAGATCGGGATCCAAGAATATATGATAAAGAATTAGAAATACCTGATGCAGTAACAAGTAATCTCAATATACAGTTTAAATTGAATGGTACCGATGGGAATGGAAAAGAAGCAAATAGTCCCACAAAGACAAATAAAGGAAATGAAAGTAAAACAGTTTATTTGGGATGGAAACTTCGAAAAGGAGAAGGATTGTTAGCTTGATCGATTTAAAAATACTCCAATCTTCCAAAAATGTGATTTAGAGGTTCTTCGATTTAGATTTAGTTATAGATAAAAGGTTCAATGTCTGCAACATGAAACAATCTACGCTACCGGAGATACAAACCCAAACTCTAACAGTGTAAAAGGCGTAATACACTTATTTACAAAACCCAGCCTTTAAGATCGACCTACAAGCACCAGTTCTAAGTCGAAAATAAAACGAAATACAACTATGATATGTTTCATATAATCTTGTCAGTCTTCAAACTACTTCTAGATTCAGTCCTAAGCTAACGGATTTTACAATCCCATAAGAAGAGGACGCGATATTTCCAAAAACGAAATCACCAAAAAGCTTCATCGAATCATAATAAGTACATCCAATATCATAATACACATCTCTAGAAAAATATTTAAGTATAATTGCATTAGCAACAAGTTCATTTAAATTATTAAATATTGTAATACTCACAGCTTTTATGATATGTATCATTTCCTTAATATTATTTACATCTATAAAACTTATATCTATTTCATTTGTGATATGTTTTACTCGTGAGTTACTTGAAGCAAGTGCATCGTGCTGATTGTCAGTGTACTTAACAACATCTACTAGTCTAGTATCAATAAATTCATCGTAACATTTTAAAATAGATATAAAATTGATATTTTCATTTAAAAAATATCTCTTGAAAGGAACGATGGCTAACGTTGAAGGATTACCTTCGAATCTTAGCTTAATAGTGAATAAATTCGACAAAGAATTGACGAAAATTTTGAAGAAAAGGACAGCATTGACGATAGTGATAGTGTCTTTGAGATTGTAGAGGATAGTAAGGAGGATAATGGTTACGTAGAAGATCTTGACTGGCTTGTGGGAAGTGATAGCCGAACTGGGAGGCGTGGGGTATACGACGTCGACTTCAGCGATCTTGAAGATGGAAAGCAGAAGATGGGAGGAGATGTCTTCGTGCTGGGAGTTGATGCGGGACTTCACGACTTTGAGGACGTCGATGCATTCCTCCTGTAAGTTTATTAATAAAAAGCCAAATAGTAGCAATACTTTTAACATCAAACCAACTAAATAATGTATCAAAGAATCTTTATGTGACACTGATTTAAAAAGAATTTAAATTTAAAAAGATTTAAAAATTCCATCGGAATCTACACTTTGGAACGAGCAAATAGCTTCACTAAGAGGACTGACCGACAGACTGACACTTTATATCTTTAAAATTTTGCTTGACGTTCAAAAGTGCCTGTATGGGTCAAATTGAAATAAATGATTTTGACTTTGACTAACAGTTCTTAAATAAAATCACTTAGTTATGGAAGGTAGTCTTATTCTTCTTCTTGAACTGGTATTAGCAAAACTAAACAGTCGCTGTGTTTTATATAATTTCTGTCAGTCGCTTAGCATGTACAACAACTACTCTTTCATCTACTTGCGACAAGATTATTGCAACGTACTACTCCTCAACCTCAAACCTCAATATCAAGCGACCTACGGAAAACATTGGCTTGTTTCCCATGAGAAATCTAATTGGCACCATTATTTTGACTTGCTAAAAAATTTTGCTTCTTTTTCTAAGTCCAAAGGTGATATTGTTCTATCTTACCTTCTCTCTATCCAGCAGTGCGTCGCCAGCCTCCCTCAACATCTCCTGCTCCCGTGGTGGCACGCTCGCTGAGATTATCACGTTTTCATTGCTGATGTTGAACAAAGTCAGCGTGCAGTTCGTCTGCAAGAGTTTTGAAGGAGTTTCTTTATTGATTGCTTACTTTTATGTAATAAGGAGCGAAAAATGAACAAACGGTTGACCTGATGGTCAGCAAGTGAACATCTATAGACACTGCAACACCAAAGAAGTTACCTTTCATTATCTCAGTTTTGGAAGAAGGGCCTTCAGTTATGTGATTATTGTTAAAAATGCCGAGCTTTTTTTTCGATTATGTGGTTGTAGCCCCAGCAAATTTGTAATTCCAGCCGGGGTATGGGTGCAAAGCATTTTGGTGATTAGGGTTTCGTATTTATGGATTGGGGCCGGATTTAGTGTCTAAAAGGATTTGGCCTAAGGTAAATTTAATGAAACAATGAATTTATTAGTGTATATATGTTTTGTGTAAATAGGCCATAAACATTTTTATCTGCAGCATTTTCTATCTGTCTACTCTGAGAAGAAATGCCGAAACAAACTCAGAGGCTTCAATCGGCTATATATAACGCAGTGGTTGTTTCTCGACGGTTTCCTATGAGGCCGTAGTATTACTCCCATAGTCCCATAATGGCATGCCGAAGCATGGCTCTCCCGTAATGTTGAATTCAAAACAAGTATCCAATTACTCACTCCCTCGCTGTGTACGGTGTACAGGTACTGCTGCAGAAGACGCACAGCATCTTCAGCTCCTAATCCAGTGTGTGGTCTGAGAAGAGCTTCGTCCACTGCGCTAAAGCCGAGGAGTAAGTATACGCCTTCTGGTAGCTTGTATTCGCCTGGAAATGTTATGAAGATTTAAGATTAGGCAGGCAGAAGTAGCGTTGAAAATCAGAAAATGGGTATCGCACTCAAGTTTTCTAGGTCGGGCAGTCGCAGATCTGACTCGACTAACATTTCTTTTATGTCATATGGTGGCAAACGATGGTGATAAGATAAGCAATCAGCGCCACCCATGGACACCCAACGACGGATGAGTTACGAGTGCGTTGCCGAAATTTTGGTGATTAGGGTTTTCGAGATTTCGGAACTAGGAGAGGGAAATGATTGGGCCACCGGTAGGAGTTAGGAGTGCGTTGTCGACCTTTTGGAGCTTTAGGGAGTGGGGGACGGGCAGGATTGAGCCTACGGTAACATAACTCACAAGGCAAAACCCAACGCTATGGTTGTTTCACATAGGTTTTCTGAGATGTCGTGGTATCATTCCGGTCAAGCCATTCATGCCGAAGCATGACTCTATCACATATTAATTTATCAGTTTAAGATTAAAAAAGAATTAAATTTTGTGTATAGGTAGCGTATTGGGTGAAAAATATTAGTGAAAAAACAAAACACTACTTTGTATCAAAAATGATTATATTCTTGACAGTGATATATTTGGCAAGTAGCTTGTGATTTTTTGGTGTTTAGGATACAGTGACGGTTTTCCACCAGGTTGTAAGCGTTCTTGCTATTGCTAGTACCAATCCTATAACCTTAATAATTACTGTGAAGTTTATTGCAGTTATAACATTAAATATTTTCGTAATAATCGTGACACAATACAAAATAAACATGTAAAAAATTGACACAGAACCATTTCGTCTACAAGTGGATTATTACTCTTTTTATAAAAAAAATGTGATAATTATAAGTGCCTGCATTAACCTACATGGTGAACTGAGAAAAATAAAAAATAAAATAATGACAGACACCAGTTTTTACCTTTCGCCTTACCTGGATTAGGCCTCATGCAGATAAAGGACCCAGAATAGCAGTAGCATCGTCCTCTGTAGGCCTGGTAGGCTGGTGCAGCATGGGAATAGTGGGCCAGGCGGGAGGAACACGGAGCTCGAGGCACACAGGCCACCTTGCAGGACACTTGAAGAGTAGCCTCACACACACAAAGGTCCGTGCACTCTGCGAGCTCAGCTGAACGGTACAACTGGAATTATGGAGTAAAAGTTCTTAATTTTTGTATGCTACTGAATGTAAATTATAAAAACCTTTTCTTATATTATGATTAATAATAATAATTGATTGAATAGAAAATGTCATGAATGTAATATAATAATAATTTGCACGCTTGCTTGCATGCAGAATACAGTGACTTTTAGGTTATAAGATATTATTATTTCGTTGTTAACGATGCACCTATTTCTTGCAATTCAATATTTTGATTTGATTTGATTTGGAAGGTAAATTGAAGGTCGAGGTTGATGTGCTATTGGAAATGACTATGCGTTGTGTATAAGTAATAGTACCTAAATGATTATGATGATATTAAATTAATGGATATATTTTAGATTTAGTATGTACCTATTCTATTCAGATAGGTCAGGATGTTAAGATTTTAAATTGTTTAACTTAACACTGCTTATTTTCCAATATTATTCAATACTCAATACTTTATTACGTACCTTAATGTTTTACGTAAACCAACAACATTTTATTAGGAGAGAGTATGAAGGCACTTCTTGTTTAGAAAAAATAAATTAAATAGCATTCGTGAAAACTATGTTTAAATAAAGTGAAATTGCAATGGCCCGGCCACGTCGCTCGAAGGACGGACGGCCGAAGGGCCTAAAAAGTTGTCCGCTCGATGGGCCGACCTCGTCAGAGTCGCGGGGAGTCAATGGATGCAAGTGGCGAGTTGTCGGGACGAAGAGAGAGGCTTTTGGTCAGCAGTGGACGTCTTCAGGCTGATGATGATGATGTTTAAATACTATGTATAAATAAACTTGTACTATGTTAATAACTTACTCGTCGAGTTTCACCCATCTTGATGTACTGTGCTTGATCATCACTCTCCGGCTTCTTCACGATGCAGTATTTGGTAGGCTCTAGCGTAGTAGTCGGTCTCGGCGTAGTCGTAGTAGTTGTGGTCGTCGTAGTAGTCGTCGTCGTAGTCGTCGTAGTCGTAGTAGTCGGGACTGTTGTAGTTTCCGTCGTAGTTTCTATTACGGGTTCGGAGATCTGCGCTACTTCGTTTGGGCCCACTGTTTGTTCCGACATGGTGGTTATTGGGCTCAGTTCTTCTCGGTTTTCCTGAAATTTTTGTGGTAGACTTGTGAGTGTGTGGTAGGTAAAAGCTTGTTTTGTTAGATAGGCGAGTTAGAGAGACAGAGAGAGAGAGGTTACCGGAGGTCCAATTCCTCCCCCTCCCCCATCCCTTCCCAATCCTTAAATATCCTAAACCATTATCCCTAAAAGGCCGGCAACGCACTCGACAACAACTCCTTTGGTATTCCGGCGGCGCTGATTGCTTACCATCAGGTAATCCGTTTGCTCGTTTGCCGAACCATACCATAAAAAATGAGTTTTATATTGACCAGTTCTGTTCTAGAGAGATCAGGAAATAATACTCTATTTTGTACCAAGTAAATTAGTTGAAATTTCTTTCAAATCCTTCTTTCGTAGACGGTTGTGATATGGTACAATGAACAAAATGAAGATAGCTCATACAATAGACCCACCTCAAATTTTGGCTTATTAGTATTTTCACCCTAATTTTGTTTGTTTTATGGATGTTTACCTGAATAGTATCAATCTGAGAGCTCTTGTCTAGGGTGGTATGGCGATGGTGGTGGGTGGTCGTGCGATGGTAGATTGGAGACTCCGGAGCAACCGTGATGTACCGGATCCCGTTGTCAAATGGCGTGGTCGTCATCAGGGTGCCGTAGGTCTTCATGTGGTAGTCGCTTTGAGATTCCACTAAAATTTGGTGATTGATTACAGATTTGAAGATATTACCTTAATTTAGAATGATCATTCTGGTTTTAAGAAGTGACTATTTTCGACAGTATCACTTATTGCGAGAGCAGAAAAGATTGATTGATTAACTTTTCTAATGTGTTAGACGTGAATCCACAAGAGACACAATGTATTTTCTATTGTGTCTTATATACCAACATTCAACGAGTTAAATCAAATAAATTTCAAAAATAAATGTTTACTCACCAACGCAAGGGTTGAGCCAGAGCAGTCGTTGCCATCCAAGGCAATCATAGAGCTGGGCGAAGTCAGTGCCGCGACAAGCGCACGCTGCCCGCAGCTGGGTGCCTAGTACTGCAACCACTGCAGCCCTGCAGGCGGCTGGAGAGCCTGCACAACCCTGGGTCACGGCGTCCACTGCACACCATTGCTCGTAGTTCTCTAAGCGGATCCTGGGAAAATTGGGGTGGTTGAAAATTACGAGTATATGTAGAAATCATATCGCCAAAATTCTAAGAGTTTTTACTTCCTTCTCCTTTTGAGATGGACAATATTGAGATTTTGTATTTAGCATTGTCTTGTTTTATTTGTTGTTTTATTTTAATTTTATGATTACACTGTTTTCATTTTTGCTTAAATATTCTTTTTGTTTTGTAACTTGACGTGCACGAACGTCTCTTGGTAAATTAAATGCTTTTTTCCGTTCTTTGTGATATTTTATTCTTAAGACTGTTTCTTTTTATTTGTTGATCTTCTTCTTTTTAAGTTCATTTTATTGTTTGTATGTTTGCATATCTGTGTTTTTATTAGATTTGATATACTTCAATAATTTAATAAAACAGAACATGCTTTTTCATTTCACATATTTTATTTTCTTATCTTTCTTACATTATTAAGAAATACAGGGGTTCTTATAACCAAATGGAACAACATGGATCACCCAATTTACAAAATTGTCGAAATATCTTTGGTAGCCGTAAAATCCATGTGAAGTTGTAGCACTATATAGTCACACACATGGTCGTTAGTGAGGGTTTTGGATTCGCTACGGAACAAACCGATTAAGATTTGGCTTGTGCTAGGAAATATTTGTATTTCAGTGTGTTGAAATGAGTTTCGATGTCTAAAAGGTTAAGGCAAGTACCAATGTTCTAATCTAACTTTAACGCTTTTAATTGTTTTTTTTTGTCAGGAGAAAATCACCAAATGACTTTTCCCATCCGGGGTAAGGCGAGAGAGAGTGTCAGAATCTTACTGACTAAAAACCCCTCCATTCCTTTTCCTGTTTTAGGCCGGGGTTGTGTTGTGTTTTGTTGGGGTAAGCGCAATGTGGCATTGCGCTTACACAACACCGGCTGAACCCTGTAGAGTCCCGTCTGTGGTGGTCTATTGGCTCTGAGGCCCGCGCGAAACGCTACGCTCCATACGTTCGGGTCTGGTTCTGGTCGGGCGACGAGGTACCCTTACTTGCCGTCCGCAGACCCGCGCTTACGGTGGCCGGAGATCATCTCTCGTTTTAATCATAGGTTTGGAGGCAGCAAAGTATTCAGTTAAGAATGTCATGATATTCATTCAATTAAAATCTTATAATTCGACGGCACCTAAGTGTCAATTTACAACCAGTTCAACGAACGGGTGTTGCTGACTAGTCCAAATCTAAAACAATTGGTCGCTCAAATACTCAAACTGTCGGTTTTTGATAAGGCCGTAGTACAACTTTGACAACACACTATTACAAACTTTCTTAAGAACACTTATTATCTTGTCTTCAAAAACGTTCCTCTTAACTTCATCATCATGGTATTATTGTCGTATTTGTCCCATCTTCATCCCATCAATCACAGTCATTACATCAATAGTACGCCAGTGATGCAATCAACCTGCTACCACAATTGGAATGACTAAGGTCGATCTATATCAATGCCTTTTTTTTTTTTTTTTTTTTTTTTTTTTGTCAGGGGAAAATCATCCAATGACTTCTCCCGCCCAGGGTAAGGCGAGAGAGAGTGTCAGACTCTTACTGACTAAAAACCCCCCCGTTCCTTCTCCTGCTCTGGGCCGAGGTCGCGGTGCCTCGTTGCGCTTACCCCGCAGCCCCGGCTAAACATCAGCCCTTTAGGGCCCCGACTGTGGTGGTCTATTGGCTCTTTGAGGCGCGCGCGGAACGCTACGCGCCGTACGCTCGGGTCCAGTTCTGGTCGGGCGGCGAGCTACCCTTACTCGCCGTCCGCAGACCCGCGCTTACGGTGGCCGGAGATCATCCCTCGATCCCCGACGTCCGGAATGTCGCCTTCTGCGGCGGCTGGGGCGCGAGGAGGATAGTTCCCTCACGCGCTCCGCCTCCTCCTTTGCGAGCATAACTGCTTCGCAGAAGGAGGAGATAGCTTCCCAGTTCCTCTCACGCTGCACCATGGCCTCGATTAAGGCCGGGCGCGAGAGGTCGCCGCCGCCGATCACTTCCCTGAGAACACGGCGGTGCTCAGCCCAAGCAGGGCACTCCGCCACCGTATGCTCCACCGTGTCCTCCAGGTGATCCTCACAATGACGACACTCGGGCGTTTCCTCCCGCTGGATCCGAAACAGGAACCTACCAAAGCTGCCGTGCCCGGTAAGCACCTGCGTCAGGCGGAAGGTGAGGACGCCGTGGCGTCTCTCAAGCCACTCCTCAAAGAGGGGTCTTACCGCTGCTATAGTAGCGTGCCCGGCCCTCGGTTGCGACAGTCGCTGCTTCCACTCAGCCATGAGATCTCGCCGGAGCTCATTCCGCCACGCACTAATTTGGCGCGGCAGAGGATCCTCGCCCCGGCGACGCGCGTCTGCGCGCAAACTGTAGACGCGCGCGAGCGCCTTCGCTTCCAGATCCCATGGCGGTGATCCGGCAAGGAGGTTCGCCGCCTCCCCGGAGATCGTGCGATATCCGCGGATTATTCGGATAGCCATGACCCTCTGGGACGCGACCAGCGTACGAGCCGGCCGCCGCTTCAAATCCGGCGCCCACACAGGGGCACCGTAGAGGGCCATGGATCGCACAATCCCCATGTACAACCTCCGGCAGGAGGCGTTTGGCCCCCCGAGGTTGGGAAGGAGCCGCTTGAGCGCGGCCCCAGACCGTTCCAACTTAGGAGCCAAACGACGAAAATGCTCCGTGAAATTCCATCGGCTGTCGAGGACGAGACCCAGGTACTTCATCGCCGACTCGACGCCGATGGTAACTCCTCCTGCCATTATTTGGGACCCATCTGGAGGTGGCGCGTTCCGACGGCCATAAAAACACATGGCCTCGGATTTGTGAAGCGCCACCTCGAGTCCCAACTGCCGGATCCTTGCAACGACTGTCGCGACCGCTTGCGACATCAGGTCGGCCGCCGCCTGATGTGACCTCCCATTCGCCAGCACCAGCGTGTCGTCAGCATAACAAACAATGCTGACGCCGCTCGGGAGGTCGGTGCGTAGCACCCAATCGTACCCGATGTTCCACAGGAGAGGTCCCAGGACCGATCCCTGTGGAACACCGCGCGACACCTCTCGCCGATTCCACACGCCCCGGTGACCGGGGTAGATGACGCATCTGTCCGTCAAGTAAGCCTCGACTACACGACGGAGATAGGCAGGCACCCGGTGATACCGGAGTGCCTCCAGAATGCAGCTCCAGGGCAACGAATTGAAGGCGTTGGCGATGTCCAGAGACACCGCCACGACGACTCGCCCCCTGGCCAACGCAGTCCCCGTCGTGAGGTCCCTCACGCGCATGATGGCGTCCACCGTGGAGCGCCCTCTGCGGAAGCCGAACTGGCCGTCCGCTAAATCCGGCCCCCTTCCAGACAGGTGCCCGACGAGGCGGTCTGATATTATCCTCTCGAACAGTTTTCCCACCTCGTCGAGCAGCACAATGGGCCGGTACGCGGACGGAGAGTCCGCAGGACGCCCCGGCTTCTTCACGAGGACCAGTTTACCCGTCTTCCACGACAGCGGAAACTGGCCCCTCTCCAAGCATGCGCTGAAAAGACCAATTAGTCGAGGCCTGAGAGCCTCCGAGGCCAGGACCCAAACCTTGGCATGCAGCCCGTCAGGTCCTGGGGCGGTGTTCTTGCCGCTCAGCCGGCGCACCGCCACCCTCAAATCTACCTCGGTCACTTCCGGAGCGGATTCACCGTCGTCGTCGTTGTAGCCCGCATTGGGCACCGCAGGGGGCGGAGACATAGTGGGAGGCGTGTAACCTATCTGTGGTCGGGGGAATAGCGCCCCAACCACTTCGTCCACGACCTCCGGCCGGAGACTCTGAGTCAGTGGGGGCGCCCAGGTGCGGAGCTTATCACGCACCATGCGGTAGGGGCGTCCCCACGGGTCTCTGTTCAGAGTCTCCAACATCTCCTCGCGGGCCCGATCTTTGGCCCGCCGGATCTCCACCCTTAGGGTGGCCTTCGCCGCCCTGTACTCCTCGTACAGCTCCGCCTCTCTGGTTTCAGCGTCCAGAGGGCGGATACGGAGCCTGCGGTGCCTGGTGTATCGGCGTCGCGCTGCGGTGCACTCACCACGCAGAGCAGCCAGCTCCTGCGACCACCAATACACCTGGCGCTTGCGTTGGCACGCCCGGATCCGGGGCATCGCCACGTCGCACATCCTGGACATGGCGTCCTGGAGCCATCTCGCCTCCTCGTTAACGTCGGCAGGCCTGACCGGTGGTATCACCCAGGCCTGCACGACTGCGGCTTCCAGGAAAAGCTCCCGGTCCAGTTGCCTAAGCGCCCAACGCGGGCCACACGGGGCCTGTCTGACTGGCGGGTCTGCGGACTCGGCGGAAACGTCGAACCGTATATAGCGGTGGTCCGAAAACGTCTCCACCTCCTCCATGACGCGCCAGTCGCCAACGCGCGATGACAGAGCGGGGCTAGCAAACGAAATGTCCACCACTGACTCGCCCCGCATCCGTATGCACGTGGGGACAGAACCCCGGTTCAGCACGACCAGGCCTGTCTCCAGAGCCCAGTCTTCGACCATCCTTCCCCGGACATCAGTGAGCCGGGAACCCCAAGCCAAATTCTTGGCATTGAAGTCCCCGAGGACCAGCACGGGGAGGGGACGGAACCCGACGACGACGGTGACTAATTCCCTGAGGGAGTTGTGGAACTCGACGAGAGTTCGGTTCGGAGAGAAGTACACGCCCACCACGGCGATCTCTCCGAACCGAGCCGCGACGCAACCCCTGCCTCGCTGAGGCCCTTCGGGGGTTGGGGTACCAGCGGCGGCCGACGAGATGATGGTCACCGAGCCGTCCAGGTCTGACAACCAGTGTTCCCTGGGTGGAACGAAGTACGGCTCGGAGACCACAGCAACATTGATCGACCACTGCGCCATGCTCTGGAGCAGGAGATCCTGAGCAGCGGCGCAGTGGTTGATGTTCGCCTGGAGGAGGCGTAATGGAGCCATTATTGGCAGTCCATCACGACCTCCTCTCTGGCACCGGCGACAGCAGCAGTCGCGGAGGCGGTGGCGACTGTGTCTGTATCGACGGGAACGGCGGGGGCGGTAGAGGCGGCAGAGGGCCTAACTTTACCCCTGGGATTGGCGGGGGGGGAGCAGGTTTTGCCCCCAACCCGGTGATCGGCCGGCTTACCAGCCGCCGCACATACTACGCAGTGTAGCGGTGCGGTGCAAGTGCCGGCCCTGTGACCGGGCTGACCGCAGCGGAAGCAGCGGTCGCTACGGTCTACCTCCGAGGTGCATTTGGCACCCACATGGTGACCAATAAGGCAACGATAGCACCTCAGAGGCCGGGGCTCAAGCAGCTTCACCTGCGCCGAGACCCAGCCCACCAGGAGTCTTTTGCCCTCCGACAATTTTTTTGCCGCTGTGACGGGGCAGCTGACTACCACAGTCCGCAGCCCCGTGCTGTCCGGGCGGATGGTGCCTGCCTTCACCTGGTCCACAGGACACTCCCCCATCCTGGCGACAGCGGCCGCCACCTCATTCTCCGTCACAGAGTCGTCCAGGCCCATAATACGTAGCTCCAGGCATTTAGTGGGCCTGGACACGCGAGCCTCGTCCGCTGCAAGGCACGTCCTGAGCCTCTCGGCTAGGGCGTCAGCGGACGACCCGCTGGCCGCGCCGGGGACCTCTAAGAGACGGGCTCCAGTGGCAGTGACCCTCACTGCGAACCCGTCGGGTGCCCCGAACTCCGCAGGAGATACCGCCCCCTTCAACTTTTTGAGTACGTCCCCGTACGTCACCCCCTTTTTAGCCGCATCCGGCTGTAGTGTAATCACTACAGCCGAAGATTTGGGGGTGAGGAGCATTGCCGCGGCGCGCTTCTCCTTGCGCCGCTGCTGCCGCCGTTGCCGCTGCTCTTTCTTGCGGCGCTTCCTCGCCTCCTTAGCGACCCTCCTCGCTTCCCCGGCCACCTGCCACTCGCCATCGGCACACAACTCCGATGGGGTGGGCGCCGCTCTGGCTGGAGCTCTAGCGGCTGCACCCCTGCGCCTGCGACTCATCGGCGCCGAAGCTGAAGTTGGAGCTTGCGCTGTCAGAGCCGCAGGTGCCGCCTTCGGCGCTTTCGCCGGCGTAGGCGCTTTCGTCCCCTTCTTCGCCGGTGCCTCAGCCCGAGCGCCGCAGCTGGTTGAAGGCTTTGCTGCTGCTGTTGCGTAAGAGCCAGCTGCAAGCGGGGGTCGGAGGAGCCTAGCCTCCAGAGCGTCAAAACGCTGTTGAAAGGCGGCCATCTCTCGCCGCATCAGGCCGAGAAAGTCGGCCTCCGTTGGCTGCGCCGGTTGGGGACGGCCTCCGCGAGCAGTGGCGAGCTCTGCCTTAGCTGCTCGGAGTTCAGCCTCCAAGGCCGAGTTCGCAGCCACCAATCGGGACAGTTCCCGTCGCATCCCGGCTAGCTCCTTATGCAGAGCAGCCATTTGCTGCCCCGTTGACCTCTGCTGGGCTACCGCCGACATAATGGCGGCTTCGGCGTGTTGAAGCACTCCGTATCTGCCAGCCTGGGTTTTCTGGCCAGCCACCGTACGAAGTGCTTCCTTCACTTCATTGCGAAGGCTCTCAGCGCCGCCTTCGCTTACAGAGCCCTCGCCGCCGGACACTTCAATCTCGGACGAGTCCGAGGGGGCGGCCCTTCCCAGGGCGCTCCCCTCCGCCGCTAGCCGCTCAACTGGCTCAGTGCGACTAACTACTGCCCTAGTGGAGCCCTTTCCTTTACCCCTTCCCCTCGCAGCCGTGGGGATTTTAGGGGCTGGGGCCTCCGGCTCGTTGGAGGACGGCTCTCGGCCATCCTCTAACCTAGGACGTTTAAAAACGCCCCGCTCTTTATGATGGCGCAGCGCGATGCCGACACCAGACAATGATGAGTCGGACTCCGAGTCCGACTCCTTCCTCCCCGGGGCCCGTAACCGGGATTTGCTGGGCACTTCTCCACGAGCCCGGGAGCCATTTCGGCCCTCACTGTCACATGCAAGCGAGCTGTGCTCGCTTGCCTTCTCCTGCACGTCTATTTTTTTATTTTTTTTAATATTTGTGTCTTCCATATCGGTCCCACGAGTATGGGGGAAATAAAAGGTCCACCCAGGGAGAGCCCCCTGTCCCTGGGTAAGTGTACATTTGTGTCCCAACCAGGGGGTCCACCGGTCCCCTAGCTGGGGGTGCGCTCACGACTGATGCTACTCCTCAGCCATACATACCATCGCCGCGCACCAGAACTTAGTATTGGAGGAATTTTTTATAGAGGTTGTCTTCCTCGCGGTCCGGGCGGTTAAGCCAAGACCCTCGTCCCGGTCCGAGTCATAAAACATGACCATGATCTCTTCCCGGATTACGATATCGACGGGTGCAGTCGGGCGCAACTAGTGCCCCGATGCTACTCGTTGGCAGGGTGAGTGCGCAACGAGCGCCGCCCTTGCTCCTCCGCTACGTTCTCTGCTAGGTCCAGAGGATCGTGCGGATGAACGCCCCCACAGAGGCGCAGGCCCTATGCCAGCACAGAGCAAGTCGCCTCTAGAACCCGACCGGGTTCTCCGCCCGGCCAGAAGTTCGCTGCGGGCGACAGTCAATCCAACCCTGTCTCCATCCCGTTAGGGAGACTGTCGCCCGCACCCAGGGTGCACCACGGGGAGGTCTTCTGGCACGCACCCCATCTATATCAATGCCTGTGTTTCTGATTGCCTTCTGTATCTGACCATTGTGTTTTCGACCTTATTGGATTGGATTGATGTCAATTTTAAATTTAGCAGTGGCAGTTTTAGAGGTTTAAGAAATAGTTTGACGTAAGAAATAGTTTAGCTAAAAAGATTGAAGAAACGTTTGACATTTTTATGGGGTTTAATTGCCAAATGGAAAAATAAAATGGAACTCTTATACATAGATTGGTTATGTCTGTCTGTCTGACCGTCCGTATGGCACAGTCACTTTTTTCGAAACTATAAGTACTTTGCTCTTAAAACAGGTGAACATACCGTATTAAGATTTTTACATAAAAACAGAAAAATCATATTGTTTTGAGGTTCTCCATACTTGTACTTGATGTTGATGTTGTTTAAAAGATGATATTTAGATTTCAGGCAGACAGTTTTTATACCTATATACTGCTTGGTTTGCATAGTCCAAATTACATTTGATCGCTTTTCAGTCTTTTGTTTTTATTGTAATTACTATAATTTATTTTTTCTTTAATTATTCAATATGTTATTAAATATATTTATTAAGAGCATGACTATAGATATAGTGACGTATGTTCTATTTGAAACTACATTTGATGGCTCAAGTTCAGAATAGTCATTATTACATTAATAAATAATAGGATTAATTTTAAAATAAGTAATAACACTGTAATTATGATATTAATAATAAAACAATAATTTTTTTTTGTAGATAGGCCATAATATAGCATTAAGTTATTGTATGTCAACATTGTGTGTCGTGGTGGCCCGGAGGTTAAGGAGCCCACTTCTCATGCATGTGCATGAGGGTGTGGGTTCGAAACTTGGCAAGTACCAATGTGACTTTTTTCGAGTAACATGTACCTACTTTCTATGATTATTTAAACACCACTGACATACGGTGAAGGTAAACATCGTGAAGAAACCTGGACTTATAATTTCTAATTATAAGTTTGAAATCGCCAACCCGCATTGAGCAAGCGTGGTGATTAATGCTCTAACCTTCTTCGTATGAGAAGAGGCCTTTGCTCAGCAGTGGGCACTTATAGGCTGATGAGGATGTCAACATTATAAAAAATATGGATGAATCCGGCATTTCCTATCTAAGTGCCCTGAGAAAATCGCAGAAACAGACGCAACAGAACGTACGGACGTAATTTATAGGTCTATTTCAAAGTCCAGACAATGTAAAAAATCATGTGCGAGAACCGTAAAAGTTCATTCTGTAGTGGTCTTTTGAGGAAAGAACCACACCAGTTTAGTTGACCTGTCGAGAAGAATGTTTTATTTACTTCATTTAAGAGGGGCTCCTGAACAACAGACGAGATATACATATTTAGTACGGATCCTTTCGAGCGCAAATGCGAATCGCATTTAGCATTTTTGAAACTTCTGTTTTAGCAGAAGATAAGAATATTTCAATTAGAACTACAAAGAAAGGAGTTGTTCTTACCTGCATTCCGGTTCTTCCCTGCAGGCATGCGCAAGAGTGTGGCAGGCTGGGAGTGGGGAGCCCACAGCCGGGCGCTGCGCACACGACGGATGAAGACGCTCCTGAGCGTTCATGCATGAGTCTTCGCGATTGTCTGTTTTCCTGGTAATTATAAAACAATTTTTTTTTATATTATCCAATGCACATATTGCTTCTTAGTATGTGTTATAATTAAAAAAAATATAAAATGGTCAAATCTACATTTGTAGTGATTGAAGATCTTTTTTTTTGTGTGTGGAAAATCATCAAATGTCTTTTCCCTGACCCCGGCTGAACGGTCCTCTCTGGTCTATTGACTCTCTGAGGCGCGCGCGCAATGCTGCGTGCCACACGCTGAAGCTACTTTTACCATTATCTCTTTTCCAAAGGATTAGAAGCATATAGCTTTTGAAGGTCAATACAAAACTTTTGAAGTAATCCTAATCCTAGGGTTAGAAGACTCATAAAGTTGTGCATATGGGCTCTCAATACTAAATGAAATGTGCACTGCAATTTTTGCCTAATGGCCGAGAGATGGTATGGTCATTTATAGTAACACGCATAAACTCAGTGGTATAGGGAAGGTTTTTTGAAGTTTCTTTTTTCAATTAATTTAAGACATTAGGAAAGAAATCTTTCTTTTCTCTCGAAATCAAAATTAATACATTCGACAATATAATATATGAAAAAGATTTGAAATATCAAAGTCAAAGTCAAAGTCAAAATCATTTATTTCAACTAAACCATAAATAGGTACTTTTGAAACGTCAAAAATATCGTGTGACGTCATGGGTTTGTATATTTTTACTGAGTAGTGACGTACCCATCTCCTACTCCTAAACCATAAACAAAATAGGCTAGGGCAGCTACTCTATGTATTTCTTGAAATCACTTTAGAACTTTATTAGAACTGCTTTGAAATCACGATCACAGTGTTAAAAGAAAAAAAGGATTTCATCTAGACGTTTATTCTATAAAAAAATAGTGTAAAAGTGAACTCACTTGCAGAGGCAGAAAGCGATCTCAGTATTCCAATGCACTCCAGTCTTCCGATAGAACCCCCTGAGAGCCGCCATGCACCCTTCACGATCACAGTCGCTGGTGTGACACTTCTGCAGCACCGGAGTCAAAGAGGTCACGCACTCGCTGTCCTTGATGCAAGCGTCCAACGCCACGTGGCACGTCGACTGAAGAGCCACCTTCTCATCACCTGGTTTACCGTTTTCCTTTCCAATTCTCTCTGTAGGTTGTGGTCATGTGTTAGTTGTGATGATGTCTGTTCGTGTTCATGATGATAAAGACGTTTTTGGACCTCATATTGAGGGTAAGATCAGTGTAAACAATACTAAAATCTGAAATGATTATACAGCAAAATTCTGTTAGGAAACTTGAATTAGGTCATCAATGTTTGTTTACGTAAAACATGCCAATCACTCTTGAAATCCAGAGTAATTACTCTGCGAATCAACTTTTACGTCCAAAGAGGCTGTAACGAAATTGTTTAGGGTTTTCCAAACATCATTCAAATAGGTTTCGGGATTAATTTCGTAAGTTTAATAATTTTGATGTTATGTTTCATACTTTTGATGGAATGCCAATCAATTTAGTGAATTATATCATTCGTTAGTTTACGCGTTTTAATCGGTTTTAGTTTATACTCCAATTATTTTCGTTTAGTTATATATTTTATAATTTATTAGCAAAGATCTATTTTTAATTAAACCAAAAAGCTCTCCCTAAACACCTAATTTATGAAACATTAAAGAAAAAGTGCATTTAATACGCAGTTTATTTAAACACAAATAGTAAATATAAAATAAATAAATATATCGTAAAAAAATAAATAAACGAATAAATTATTAATGGAACATAAAATAAAAGAATTATTATATTGGAGTGTGGGTTATATGCTCATGCTAATATAAATATAATTTACATCATGTGGATAAAAATTGAGAATAATAATAATAATCATATGGAATATATTATGTGTAAGAGGGCGATAAAAAATACGTGTCGTGAATCAACACGATGAGATTGCCAATGAAGTCGATATAATCATTATGAAAAAATCTTATGTCAAATACAAGCGTAATCTCAATAAATCGGACATGCTTTCAAATTACATAACTCTTTGTGAGGCAAAAACTCCATGAGATATTTGTGCCAGTTCAATGTTAAATATGAATAGAATATTTAATGGGTACATGCATAGTGGACCGTGTATGTCTATAAATAAATAATAGTTCTTTCCAAATGTTATATCCGTGCTACACCCGATCAATGTGGACAGGTAAAATCCGTGGAACATGAATCTTGAGCGTAATTTGCAAAGCTTCGCGGAGATTCTCGTCTCTAAGCGTTTTCGCTAAATCGCTCCTTTACAAACTAAATTCTCTACGAATTTTCGGATCAGGAAAGGAAGCACTCGAGGGCTCTAAAGCTATTTATCCCTTCTAGTCATTGTCTCTACGCAAAGCTTTACTTCGTGTCCTGTTAGGTTTCTATCGGTTACTATAAAATTGTGGAGGGTTCTAAACTAAAGTGCTCGGATTGGGGGTCGAAACAATAAGGGGTAAAGAGCACTCAGAATAGTAACATGGAGGTGCTAAAGAAATGAATCAGATCACCCATGTATCGATGGTTTCCTAAAACCGTCTAGTATTGTACAGTTTGGAAGCTCGAAGTGATGTGACTTACGATATCTATGGTTAGTTGTACTGTCTGTTATAAATGTGTTTCTTTTTTTTGTACCACCTCTTATTCTGGTTACGTCAACTAATCTTTTTATATCACTTAAACTAGGTGTTAATCAAAGTGTAAAAGATAGACAGGGTGGTGGATTACCGACACCAAAAAGATTAGTCGACGCTCTAATATACCAACGCCATACGTACGGTTTTCATCAATGTATCCTGGCCCGTAGACTGTCTTGGTCGCGTACAAGGGATCTTCGCTCCCCCCCGGCTCATGGTTCCAGCGGTGGTAATGGTGCCCGTGAGGGTTGTAGTGAGGGCTCGCATAACGGTGGATGTGCGTCATAATTTTGTCCGGAGCAATCAGGTTCCCATCATGTGTTATTGACATTCCGCCGATCCACGAAGTCACACCGGTGCCATTTCGATTCGCGATTCTTCCATCCGACATCAGCTTTACTGGAATTTCATCCATCGAATCGCTTAGCTGAGGCAAGCTCGACGATCGAGCCATAGCGCGACGGGACTCCGAAATCGTAACATCAGAGGCGATCGCGCCGGTCGATCGACGTACATCGATATTTAGAAAAAACTGATCTTACGGACGGTAAATATAAAAATGACAATCCAATACAAAACAACGATTAATCGCAAACGTTACGACATTTAACGGGCAAAAATGAAAAATTTCCAACGATTTAGAAAATGTCCCGGTAAAGAAATGATTAGCAAAGCCTCCCCGGTTGGCAGTCCCGCTCGAACTATATTCAAAGCCAGTCTATGCCGCGCAGTAACCATAGAGATCGTAGAAAAATAGGAGATGCAGAAAGAAAACATGCAGACATGCGCATTTCAAGATTCCACAGTAGACTTTCAGTACGTCTAACACAACATCACGAGTGAAAGTCTAAAATGGTGTAAATAGGAAAAGGAGAGCAACAATCTATAAAGCATGCAGGCATAAAGTAGGAGCGGATGTCCATTAAATATTCATTAAAATCATTAAGGAGACTTAAAAGCTAACTCCGCACTCACTAAGAATGTAGCTAATTGAAATTCTATTCAGATCCTTATTATTAAAATTGGGTCAGCCTTCACTAAGTTTCAAGTTTTCAGAAAAATTCTAGAATTTCAAATTGTTAAAGCCGTGTCTTTTGAAAGAAAGCTGAGACGTTTATTGGTATATACTAAATTGTGACGTTCCGTGTAATATTTTATAAAAACCGCTAAGAATGTAAATAATTTGAAAATTTTTGCTATAGTGTATCGGCAGCCACTTTCTGGTAGACTTGATTGTTGGCACGTATAGCCACGCTCCTACCTTACGAAGCGTAGTGCGAAGCGTGCAGTGCGAGAGGCGACGGAATCCGACAGACACATAGAAAGAGAGAAGATGAAGAGAGGGTGCGGCGGCGGCTCACCGTGGCGGGGCCGAGGGGGGCGCGGGGAGAGGAGGGCAGCGCGCAGGAGGCTCGCGGCCGCGGCGCGGGTCATCAGCCGCGTGCCGTTCTCGGTGAGTAGCAGGATGGTACCGTCGGGAGCAGCGTAGCGAGTGAGCGCCGGCGCGCGCGCAGTCGGGCGGCGGGGTGCTTCAAACAGCGCCCGAACCGCCGGCGGGCAATCGCCCCACGCCGCCGCTGCCCCACAACCACGTTACCAACAAACACTACCACCCACCACCTCTGCTCGCTCACTCACCGCACTACGAACACCCTCAAGGGAGCTGGCTCCCTTGAGAGTACTCAAGAAACCAGGTAGACGTGACTAGGTTGGTAGGTTGTGTGTGCCGCCCCGAAAGACGAAACTGACAAAAGACCGATTACCGAAGGCCGAAGGTGTTGGAAGCCAAGAGTTGAGGTAACTGCGGGCATTTGTACGGTGTGTGGTCAGGAGTACACTAAAAAGAAGCTAGTGTCCAGTGAAACATAAAGTTGAAACAGCCTTGTGTGGTAAAGTAGTGATCTAAGTCAATCCTAAGGCCTATGCATCTAAGTTGTGTTCAAATAAAATAGGCACGTATAACAAAGTAATGGAAAACGAAATCAAATACGTAAAACAACTAAGTAAACACGTTGACGGCTATTTGAAAGTGAGTCTAGTACTCCTTCAGAAGCATTTTATAGTGTAGTGTTATTGTTTTGTTGTTATTTATGTATTGTTTTATGCAGTTCGTTCTGTAGACCCGTGTCGTATGCTTAAATAACATTATTCTTTTTAGTACAATAGCTTAAATTAACATAACATCTATAGAACACATAATGATGTTGATGGTGTCCCACAAGGATGGATCTTAGGACCAGTGTTTATACATTACATACATACATCAAGACAGGTTTTTGATAAGTGTCACTTATATTACGCGTGTACCTATGCGTTGCCAGTTTAAACACTTAAAGCTATTGCTAGTTAGTTTCATATTATTGAGTTCACGAGTTCTGAGTGAATTGTTTTGCAAATCATCTTACAATATTTACACAAACATATTTCTGGAAATGAACAATGACAAGAATAATTCCTAGTAGTAGAAAAGCACGAATAGTAACCTAGCAACAATAATAATATACCAGTTGCAAACAAAACGTGAGCTCTAGCTATTCTTCTATTTCCCAACAAAATGTTGGAATAACATCGCTAACGGCTTGTCATTTTCAGATTACCTCGAACATAACAATACAGTTTGAAAGGTATTTTTCACCGAACGCCTCGGCTCGGATATTTTTCCCCAAAGCTTGATAGCTACTGTAATTTGTACAGATGTATATTCCCACGTTCGGGCAGCCATGTTAAATTTTAAACTCTGAACAAACAAACTGTGTCTTTCTCGTTTGAAAATTAAAATTTAGAACGAAGCGTAAAATAATTAAGTCCTTGTGGTTTGGTGTTTGATCATTTTTTTATAGGTTATGTTGAAAAATGTATTTAAGACAGAACTCTAAAAGGCCTTTTTATGTAATAGATCGCCAAACGATCAGACGGATTACCTGATGGTAAGCAATCAGCGCCTGGACGCCCGTCCATGGGCGGCGACAGAGGAGTTACGAGTGCGATGCCGACCTTTTCGGGATTAGGGATTTGAAGGTTTAGGTAGCTATTGGGTAGGGATTGGGAGAGGGGAAGGATTGGGCCTCCGATAACCTCACTCACACGGCGAAACACAACGCCGTGGTTGTTACACGCCGGTTTTCTGTGAGGCCTGCTTTCCTAGGTTTTTAACAGATACTCCTTTTTGGGACTTAAATTCCTAATATAAATACGATGATCCAATATTATTACACTATGTTATATCGTGACTACATACTACTAGATAATTTTAAAACTGAAAGAAATAAATGAACAAATTATGGCCATTTTCCTTTTTTATGTCATTGAGTCTTATTTTTACGAAAACAGGCGTTTTATTTTGCATTTTTTATTTTGTATTTTGCTTCTTAGGAGCTATTACTTTTTTGAGATTCTTATTACAACCAAGTACTATTTGAAGTTATAGAACTAAGCGAATACATACTTAATTCCTCTGCTCCTTTGCCGAAGTATCTCATGAAAAATATTTTATTGTATCGTTATCTTAAGAAATTACTTTGTCTTCAGCAATTGTATTCGAGAGCACTCAATAAACTGAGTAATTCCCGTCTTTATTTTCAGTTTCACGAAGTGTAAATACTTGAGTACACTGAAAATAAAGGGTCGGGACTCTTTTTTTTCCGTTTCCCGGTCATTATGAGTCGGTTATCCGCCTGTTAGCAACGCCCCGGGTACAATATTACCCGGATATTGCCTTAAAACGATCCGGTACGGACACACGGGGTATTAGACGTGGCGCGTCGCATATACTCTGGGGCAATTAGGAATGTAGAGGAAATTGTTTTAAGTGTTGAAGTTTTTTTTCATTTGCGTGTCGTGGTCTTTAGAGGATAAGGCGCCTGCTTCTCACACATAAGAGTGTAGGTTCGTAATCTGCTAAGTACCAAAACGACTTTTTCTGATTTTGCGTACTTCCCAAGATTATTTACACACCACAGACCAACAATCAAGGAAGATATCGCGAGGAAAACTGGACTTAGAAGAATAAAGAATTATGTGTTTGAATTATTAATCAATCGGCCTTGAGTAAGCGTGGAGATTAATTCTTTCACCTTCGCTGTGTGAAAAGAGGCTTTTGCTCAGCATAGGACTTTTAGGTTGATGACGATAATGTATGTATGTATATATAGTTTTTGTAAGATCTTAGGAAAACCATAGAATGAGTGGGGTTACTGAAAAATGAATTCTAATCTGTCGCCACCACATGGTACATAATACCATGTCATAAAAAATCCATTTTATTCGGACCTTAGCAACGTTTCGTTGAAAACTTTATGTTCAGCCATATTTGTTTTTTGTTTTCAACCCTCTGATCTGTTTTTGTTAGACTCTAGTTTTATTGTTTTACATTTTATATAATTTGTGTTCTAGTTTTTAAACTTATTTTGTAAATGTTAGTGATTTTAATAAAGTCATCTGTTGTTGGGGAGTGATTTTGTTATTATGGTTGGTTTACTAACAAAAACTGCGACTAATAAAATAACTGTAGGAATAGGCATCGACTGGAATCCATGACCATGTTGTGGTGTTAAGTCTCCCTCTTCTCGTGCCTGAGGGTGCGGGTCCGTAACCTGGCAAGTACCAATGTTACCTCTTTCGAGTTATATGTACTTTCTATGATTATTTAGACACAACTGGCATACGGTGAAGGAAAACACCGTGAGGAAACCTGGACTTATCATTTCTAATTATAAGTTTGAAATTGCCAGTCCGCATTGAGAAAGCGTGGTGATTAATGCTCAAACCTTCCCTATGCGAGAAGAGGCCTTTGTTTGGCAGTGATGTGTGTGTGACCGGAGTGATACCACGACCCCATACAAAACCGGAGAAGGCCAAATAACAATCCAAAATGTCAAAATACTCTAATCATTAATACACGAAATGGCCTGAAGTAATGAACTGTGAAATTGTTTGAAAAAGAGTAAGCATTGGTGTTTCTCATTTATTCTCCTCCATAGGAATCTACATCTTGGAACGAGCAAATAGCGTATCTAGAGGACAGACCGACAGACTGACACGCACAAAGTTGAACTATTTGATATTTCATTATGTAGTTTGATGTTCAAAAGTGCCTACAAGGGTCTATTTAAAATAAATCATTTAGACTTTTATTTACTTTTGCCGGTAACGAACTAAGATGACTTCTTGTATTGTGGGTGCATGGGCGGCAGCGATTGCGTACTATCAAGCAAACTGCCCTCTTATTTGCCTCTCAAAAAAATTTTACTTATAGAAAAAATAATTATATCTAGTGTGACCACAGCTTTAGTGATCCGATCAGGAAACACAAGTCACGAACTTATGTTTAATATATGACTAGAAATCAGGGCATAGCCACAAAGGAAGGTCCTTGAACCGGACCAAATATTGACAGTAATGATATATGAGAGTTTGGACTTAGTTAGAAATAATCAAAGAACTTCACATCGACCTAGAAACCTGTCAAGTCTCATGTCATATAGAAAACCTTATCTGGCCTCATTTTGGGACACACTGTGTATGGATACAGGGTGTTACAATATTCGTGTCTACTTCTTGTGTTGAAAAACTTGATAGAATTGTCAGAAAGATATTTGACAGTGTACTAGAATTAGAGTTAGATTTAGATGGTTAACTAAAATCTAGATACCTTTCCGTTTTCTTTTATTTAAATCAGTATAATAGGGAAATAGTTGCCATTTTATTTTTACCTAAATCTTAAGAGCGGGATATCTATATTATATAAATGAATGTCACGTTTCGTTGTAATGTTTATAACTCAACGATGCCTTTACTTATTTGGCAAATTTTGGTCTTGAATTATTTGTGGAAGTTCAGAGACGGTTTGTAAATAGAGAAAACTTAAAAAAAATCTTGAAGAAGTGTCAAATCGACATACACGCGGATGGAGCCTCGGACGACCGCTAATATGACACAGAATTTGCAAAAATAAGTCCAGAAACTTCTAATCCAGAATACAGGGTTTAAGTATTTCTTCAACTAAAGAGACTGTGATATTAGTACCTTCTTTTACTTAAAGAACTCACTGTATATGGGACTTGTACTAAATAATTCCAATAACAAATATTGTTCATACCTTGGTTCAGGTATGACAAGGGCAAACAATGTACTTAACGTTTATTTACCGAAGTAATTTGAGTGTCTATTCAATGAATAAAAACGTAGGATAGCTGGTTTTCCAAGAGCTTTGGTGGCCTAGAAATTAAGGCAACTTCTTGGTTAAAACCTGGCAAGCACTAATGTGACCTATTCAGAGATATGCATATGTACTTTCAAGCTTATTTAGATGCTATTGACCTAAGAAAATTGTGATAAAAACCTATATTGTCAAATTACAAGTTTGACATTGCCATTCGATTAATGATCAAACCTTCTATGTGTGAGTTTTTGCTCAGTAGTGAGCACTTATAGGC